CATTTATATTTGTATATATGAAAATGTATTTCTGACTTAAACTCTTGCATTTTGCAAAAGCTGCAAACATTTCTTAATCTACAAGTAAACAGCTTAAAGCTTAAAAAAGTCTTGCTCTCTCTTGCTTTCTCACAGCCTGAAATTTGGGTAGATACTGTACCCTTTAAAAAAGCTTCTCAGATATTATTATATTATTTTAAACATCTCTCATGTACTAAAAGTAGACAATTACTATCATTTCGTGACATGGAGAATGGGTGTTTTTAGAGTAGTAAACTGGTGTCAGTTAATGTGTTGCATTAGAAAAGTGACTGGATTCTTGTTTTAGTTTTCTGAACAGTTGCCTGATCAAGGTTAAAGTAGATACTGGCTGCCAACAGATTTTTTTTGTGCATTTCAATTGCTAATCTTTATGAATTAAGTCTTGTACAGAGCCTATGAGAGCAGCTTTAAAGCTTATGAGAGCAACTCTAATCTTAATTGACAACTACTTATAAAGCTCTTTATTTATAATGTTCTTTACTAAACTTAAACAACCTAAATTAAAATCTTATTGGTTAACTCTAAATATGTTGACAGCAACTGTTACCATAAAAAACAGGTGGTGGCAATAATAATCATACCCTGTTTTTACTCTTCAGCCAGAGAGCCAGCTGAGTGTTGATATTAGTTCACTAAAAGGGAAAGTTGTTACTCGGGACAATATATTGAGCAGTTGTTGTATATTACTAGCACAACTCAGAACCTTACGAAAGCAACTCATTCCTTTGAATCAGTTAAACGTTGTTATGGACACAAGCATGTAATAACTAGTGCTAAGCCCCTGTCACACCTTGACAATTTAGACAGTGTATGCCTGACGTACAACAAATCTAGTAAAAATACTGGCATACATTGGATAAGTTATGGGTACTTTGAAGAATGCTGAAACACGCTGGCACACATATGACTTGTGTCAACGATCAGATAACTTACCTGGTGTTTTCCAGCATATGCTCATAGGTGGGCCAGGTAAGTTACTTGTTTGTTGATATAAGTTAGATGTCAGTTACTCATAAGTCATCAGGTCTAGCTTATCTTAAACATATGAGTAACTTGTAAATAACTTATGTTTAACTTATCACAAACTTATATCAATGTATTGAGGTGTTCCAGACTACCGCTGAACGTGTTTCTAACTTACAGTTACTGTACTGTATAATGGTGTTTTGGTATAAAAGGGGGTTTACAGGAGGAAACCATCTGTTCTTCACCAGCCTTTATCCCCCATCATAGGGTGAGCATGAAAGTGAGTGTGATGGATCCTCCCTGCGTTCACGGCCAAGACCAACAACCTTCCTAGCAGACATCATGTTGAATCTGTTGCGACTGCAAACCTTCTTACTTTTTTTTTTCTTTTTATTTATTCTTTTTTTGGTGGCAGGTGATAAACAGCAGCTAGGTTAATAATGCGATCTTTTTATGCAGGTCGGGCTCCTCCGGGCGCATCGCTGCTCCCCCCAGGACTCTGGCTTGTGCAACATTTCATGGGCATACGCTGCCGTGCGTTATGCATAAGTTAGGCTGTCAATGGACATAAGCTCTGGACTCGTTATGATAACGCTATGTATATGCCCAAGATTGAAAAAATACATCCAAAGTTCAGCGTATGCCAGCGTTTTAGGAGATTCAGGCCTAATCGGCAAGGTGTGACAGGTCCTAAGCGAGCATAGAGTAAAGGTTTCATTAATATTAACCAAGAGATCAGACGGGTTAACTTATAGTGGGTATCAAAAGTTATCAGTGCTTTTTATGCTAGCAGCATCATATGGACTTTGACTAAATTCTTTTTCAAAAAGACGCAGACAGAGTTGCCAGCTTGTATGTTGCTCTAAAGCCACGGGAGGAGTTGTCTCTAACTGGGAGGGTAGATATTTGCTTCTTGAGTGCAGAGAAAAGTTATCAGTTTAGTAACTAATTTAGGACTAAAAGTTGGTCATTTTGAGTAGAATCATTTATACAAATGAAATGAAACATTATTTTGGTATTGAACCACTATGGCACTATACATTTTTATCACTGGGCAACAGTAGGATGCAGGAGATCGTCCTGGATCTGGAGGTTTGCTGGTTCAAAATCCAGTTGTGCCTGTGTACCGCCATTAGTAGGCATTTCACTGCCTACTAATGGCGATCAGAGGGACTTTTGGTCCTGTTGTTACAATGAAGCTTACCACCATCATTATGTGAATGTGTGGGAGAATAATGGAATATAGTGTAAAGTTTAGATTCCCTCAGCAAAACCTGCAGTAACTGGCGATAAATCAACATGGTATTTGGGCATTTTTCAGCTTTCAGCACTGTGTTTCCCACATGCACAAGTGTGTACATTGCTTTTGCCAGCCAGCATGTGCCATGCAGTTCAGCCTTGTCTTGTTAGTGTGCACTCCCCTGACCAACCTGTCTCATCCTCTCACATCAACCAGCCTCTTACTCCTTGCTTGCTCCCACAAATATACACCAACTCCTGCTCAGTCCGTCCTCCGGCCATAGTGTCTTTGTCAACGTTGCATCTGGTAAACACGACAATAGACACGTACTCCTGCCTCAAATAGGCAGACAAACATGCAAGGAGACAGACACACACATCCAGACTAACAGGATAATCACCGGACAATTAGGCACATGCTTGATCTGTCTGGATGTATCCAGTCATCGTAGGCCCTCCAGCAGCCATTATTCAGGCATGAACACACACAGTTATATGGTAACACACAAACATGTGAATAGCACACAATACCTCGATGTACACTTTGCTGAAAGGTGTACGATGAAACACTGTTTGTGACATAAGTCTGACCTGTCTGAGTCAGTGTATATTTTTGTGTAATAATTCTAATCTCACTTGTTGTACCTGACTGGTTTCAGTGGATTTTCCCTTTGTTTTAAAGATGATAAAAACATTTTTTATTTTTGATTTTAAAAAAAATGATTGTGCCTCATATCTCTAGTCTAAGATAATGATTTGACAATAATTTTGTCTCATTGGATCAATATACATAAAAAGATATTTTCTTGTTTATCAAGAGTGTTTGGTCCTGATGTTGTCGGTCCCCACAAGAACCACCGTAGAGAAGCAGGGAAAGCCAGACAGATTCTTTGAGCCACCGGCCCGATATAGTTCAGGGACAGTGGCATCGCATTGATGCAAGAGTTTTTAAAGTATTATATCTGGCTGGAAGCAAAGCTCTGTACTTTGTTGAACAGAAGATGTCTCGCTAGCTGGCAGATTCTTATATTTTTTCTCTTCATAATGGGATCTATCATTAAATGTCCCTAGCGGTGATATAATGTTTTTGCATGTGAAGACTCAATTTGGCTTTTCTTAATTAAATCTAAGATAAAAAATAGAGCTAAGAGTTATAGTAAAGATTTTAACCTAGCTTTAGCATCTTTTATTTCAATCAAAAATGCTAAAGCAGAACACTTGAAATATATATAGATATTTTTGCATACATGTTAATAAGGGTATGTATTGGCATGTGTGGTACGATACGCAGGGGGGCCGCCAGGAACGGGGGGCCCCATGAAAGGTATTGATATTGATATTTATGCAATCTTTAAAACTGCTATGAAGATGCACTGAAGAGTATCGTTTACTTTTTGAATGCAATTTTTATTGTAAAATTTCTACAAAGGAAAATGATCAGAATGTGAAAAAGGGGGTTGAAGAAATGGAGCATCTGTTTACATGATGGAGGGACAAAGATAGTTATTTAATATACATATCGAGCTAAACGTCTACTGGCGTTTAGCTGATGTGAGGACTACAGCGTTTTCCTGTTGCCTGGTCTGGTTGATAAAGGTAAATTCTCAGCTCTATGACATTTCTGGCTTATTTACAGACACACAATAGGCTCATTAAATGCTAGAATAATCCTGGTTTATTTTTTCTTGAAAACTAAAAACGAAACTCAACCAAATAATAAAAAAAACTTGCAATCATGCTTCATTTCAGACAGCAGCATCATTAATGATGTGATTCTCCTCTGACATTGAAAAAGAAAGAAAGACTACGTAGTTGTACCCAGCAGATAGCTGTCTTATTTTAATCAACAGGTTAATAATCTATCGATAATTTGAACTATTACGTTAACAAACCTTTCTGAAATAAACGAGAGGGGGGAAAAACTGGGTCACGGTATTGGACGCCTTCTCCCTCTCTCCTCTTTCTCCTTCCTTTCTGTTCCTGGGGTGCTGCATTTTTTAGCCGTGGCATTTTTACCACACTGCTGCTTATTTATATATATTTTTTTCTTGTTAATTTGTTGTTTTTTTTGTTATTACAATGTCACATGGCATGCACGTGGCATTTAAGCCCCGGTACAAGCGAACTGCAGGTGAGAGATTGGAGACCTGATGCAATGAAGGACATGAGGACCAAACAGTTTATTGCAATCAATTTCACAGGAGGGGGTTGTCAACATATTCATGCTTTGTTTCACTATTTACTGCTGAAAAATGAGGGAGAACATGAAGATTATTAATTTTACTGCTGGATTTTCTTTTTATATTTTGCCCCCCCCTCCTTAATCAAGGGTCCTTAAATTGGTCCTAACTCCCTCCAAATGGACCTCTCTGAGTAGGAGAACTTGCACAATCAGTGGCTGAGTAATATATATATATATATATATATATATATATATATATATATATATATATATATATATATATATATATATATATATATATATATATATATATATATATATATATTTGTTATCAGCAATAAAGCAATATTAAGATAAAATAATCACTTTCGGCCCAACATTTTGACAGTAAGCAACCTTAAATTAACCAGCTTTCTGCCCATATGTCTATTTTTTTTTTTTGTCATATAAGCATATGCTTTTTTTTTTTTTTTTGCAGAGTGAACCATTAAGTGTGCATGCAGATGTAGGGTTAGGGTGTGTTTGTATCTGCCTCTGTTGTTGGTGATATGACCCTTAACTCCAGCTGTACTCCATTTGAATGGATGATCCTCACCACCATCATAGCAAACTGCATTGTCCTAGCCCTGGAACAGCACCTTCCTGATGGAGACAAGACGCCATTGTCCGAAAGACTGGTAAAACAACCTCCGCACATGCATGTGATTTACATACACACCCCTTCTGCACACAATTATTGTATGCAGTTAAACTTAAAAGACCTGCAAACACAGAAACAATAGAGATAATAATAGAGAATGGAAGCACATTCAATTCAATTCAGTTTTATTAATATAGCGCCAATTCACAACACATGTCACCTCAGGGCACTTGACATGACATTCAAATGATCACAAGAGCTTAAATGAACACATGTGGTAGCACTGAGAGACAATGATGTCGATGTATAAAGAGGATCACAGCTACAGCTATTTACTGTATATAAAAATTGATTTATCAAATTGCTGTCTGCAGTGTTAATTTATTTCACTAATTTTTTTATTTTTCTTGTGAAGTATTATGGTTTATAAAGAACATGTGCATTATTCTCAAAATTCTTTCACTCTTTAAAATGCAATTGTTTAACATTTGTAATGATAATAATCGTTTCCATCTATCCCTCCTTACCAGAACAATATGTTTGTGCACAAACCTAACTTTCAATATCTTCCTTCTTTCTCTCCTTTAGGAAGAGACAGAGCCCTATTTTATAGCCATCTTCTGTTTTGAGTCTGGAATCAAGATCCTTGCTTTGGGGTTTGCGTTACATAAGGGCTCCTATCTAAGGAATGGATGGAATGTCATGGACTTTGTGGTCGTCCTCACCGGGTAAGTCCACAGCAATGCAAGCAAACTTGCTTTATATTTATTTTATTGTGGATCTAGTCTAATTCTCTGCTGCGATAATTGACCCTTTTTTTTTTATAAAGAACTTGGGTTAGTTGTCCTGTTCCCTGTTATGTCTGTTTGGTTCAATTAGTATTTTTTTCTTTCGTAAAGGGAAACATCTACCAGTTGTGCTCACTGCTGTATATTGGTGCAACAGTTAAAGCAAAAACTCTAGATTTCATATTTAATCATTTTGTTTATCAAATGTTTATCAGAGGTGTTAATCTCCAAACAGCTTTCTATTTAAATGCTGCAATGTTGTTTATTTCATTGTTATTCTAAGTAATTCTAACTTTGGTTTCGGGATTGAGCCTCATGGCTTCCTCTGTTACCAAACAGACTTATGCCACAGCAGAGGTCTTGTTTGACAAGGTGTGCATGTGTGATCAGGGCCACTCCCGCCCTCTCAGTCACTATCCTCTTTAATGAGGATGTAAACACACACATACACACACCAACACACACACACACGTACAGAGGGGCTGGATCAGAGCCTCCCTGCGGGGAGCAGCAACCAGGGCAAAGTGAAATGTCACTTTTCCAAGAAAAGGGGAAGCTGGTTTGTTGTCGTGGCAATAGCAGACAGAAGTAAAATTTTCTCCATCCCTCTTTTACCCCTTCGGTACTGAGTGCTCACTTTAAATTCTGACCATCAAGACGATCATGTAATGTCAAAGAGTCAGCTTTTAGCAACGTTATCATGTCAAACTTTTCCTTTTTAGAAGAACTGTTAAATTAATGTTAAGTTGCTGTGTTCTTAGGCTGTTTTTCTCTTAGATGTGGTGTCATGTTGCTCAAAATGCCAAGAATATGTAGAAGTGTATGAAAGGTATGTGTTTCATACCCTTTGCACCTTTCATGTATATTTATGGATGGATGGATGGATGGATGGATGGATGGATGGATGGATGGATGGATGGATGGATGGATGGATGGATGGATGGATGGATGGATGGATGGATGGATGGATGGATGGATGGATGGATGGATGGAAAGGCCATGTAAGCCCTCAGAGAGCAGTGAATCCCCTCGTTAGAGTAGCAGTAGAGTACTACTGCAGCTAAATAACAGAGGAAGGAATAAAGGAGAAGGAGGTAGAGGGAGGAATCACGTGACAGCATCTCTCTGTTCCCCTGGGCTCTGCATAACAGGACAGAGAGAGAGAGAGGAAATACAAGAATTTCTTTATTTGCTCTTTTTTTCCTAATAGACAGTATGGAGGACATGGAGCAGTTCAAAGCCAGAGACTGCAGAAGGAGCAAGAGTGATGGCTGTGGGGACAGGGAGAGTGAGAGTGATGTATGGTGGAAGGGAAAGAGAGAGGTTTGGAAGAGGGATGGGAGGAGGAGGAGAAGGGAAGGCAAAGATGGAGATGGAACAAAGGAGGTGGGGAGAGAGAGAAATGAAAAATGCAGAGAGGGAATGAATGTGTGTGTAAGCGCTGCAGTAACCTGCTTTCGTCAGCCCTCTATGATCAATCACTCAGCGCAGCCTATAAAACACACACACTGCTGGTTCCTCATGGTGGATACAAACATACAAGTGAACGTGCACACCATCTTTCTTTAGCCATTTAAGTGTACGTACAGGATTACTGTCCGGCGTCTAGACTGGAAGTTACACTGACATGGCAAACCACTGCTTTCAGTCATGCAGAATCCTTTATAAACAAAGATATAAATACACTCTAAAAGATTTCTTGCGTTTATAGATCCAACATCAGGATGTTATTCTTCATTTGCATGTGAGCTGAGCTTTGGATTTGATGCATTTCTTTTAATATTTATACCTTTTCAATGGGGTGGTTGGTGTAGTCGCTACATTTACAGTAAATTAACCATCCAGTACTAGAGGTGAGTATTGGCATGAGTGTTGCGATTCAATACATGTCGCGATACTTGGGTCACGATACGATATTATCACGATATTGCAGTATCACTATATATTGCCATATTTTCCCCAGCTATCAAAATCAAATGATGAGTTAAAACAGCAAGTGCTGTATATTTTCATCAGAAAATATTGATTAGGTATTATTATCCATGTTGTTTGGGGTTTTCTTCCACTGTGACTGCCTCAAATACAGATTTGGTGCTGCACGCACAGTTAAAGGGCTCCACAGCGCTTTCTGCCAGAGTGGTGGTGCAGAGGTAGCCCATTTTCCCATCAATGTTTTATATAACCATATTTTTTTTTTGAAAATCGATACTAAGAAGTGAAAGATTGATATTATTTTGGGCAGCCGAATATCACGATATATCGCCAAAACGATTATTTCCCATACCCCTATCCAGTACCCTTTAGAATCAGAACCAGAAGACAGTTGTTGGGATTTTACCTGCCCTTCATGCAGTTAAGTGCAAATATTTTCAGTCTAGGTTATTCAAAAATATTTTTTTTTCAGCACATTTCATTTTAATATTTCTTCTGATGTTCTGAGGATGAATTCACTAGAACTTAGGGTTGCTGTAGATTTGATTAATATCAGTTGGTCCTCAACCCTGCTGAGCTGTCCCTTTACCATGAGGCATTGCATGACGGTCAGGTTGTATTAAGTAGCTACATCAATTGTCAGCATAGCTTTCTGGTAGTTTGGTGGTACGGCTGCCAGATGGCCCACACCTATGTTTATGTCTGCTAACCGCACGCAGGGCTGGAATTCTATTTGGGTTAAAAAAGGACTACAAAACACTATCAGGACAAATGTTTGAGGTATATAAACTTAATTTATCATGATAGAATAGTTTTGGGTCTTTTTTTTTGTATGGGCACATAATGTGATGATACCCCTTTAAAACATAAAACATGGACCAAATTAAACCCTAGAGACTAGCGATTCCATTATATTCCTCATAATCTTTAACAAAGCGCTGTTACACATGCTTTAAAGGTATTTAACCTTAGAATTTTAGTTTAGTTTCAGATTGCAGTGTTAATAGTGTCAGTCTTTTCTCACTCTTACATCGTCTCTTTTGATTTCTAGAAGAATGCGTGCTTGTGTAGTGTGAGTCGTGACTGTGCGGGCCTCTGACAGTGTTGCAAAGTATTTGCGCCGCTTGTGTGTATGCACGCACGTGTGCTGACTTCATTCTTGGCAAAGGTGCCAGTGAGAGAGACACTTGATGGGAACAAGAATTAATGAGAGGATGGAATAAGAGCAGACGGTATGCACACAGAGAGACACAGAGGCAGAGAGGCTGAAGTATTTAGTATTCAGGAACGTCAGCACATTGATTTTTATTTGCCAGACAGTGACATCACAATGAAATTTAATCATTTAAAGTAGAGTCGGGCCTAGTCAATCAATACAGTTATACAAAAGATGTCCCTACTACTACTCTACCCGTTGTTTTACTAAGAAATAGTCCCAAAATTGGCACCTGTTAGCTCTCACCCATGAAGTGTATTCAAACTAATTTTAAGTATTTGCACACAAAACTATTATGAATAGTATCTAAGAAAAAATTATTTTTGTTTCTTTTTAAATAACAGAAATTATATACATGACTAGCAGTAAAAACTTAAGATTGCAAATTCTGGAAAACCCTGCATGTTTTAAAGTAAAATCGTCCATCTGGTCATACATTAGTGTCGACAAAGCCATCAAAATTAGTGTCATGCACAGTATGTATGACTGACACCTTAGTATTATATCCTCTGTTGTTCTCTAGAGCTACTTTACATGTTTTGCATGATCGCTTGTTAAGCATCCTGCTGTTTTTCCAAATAGCAAAATGGATCGGCTTAAATTAGGTGTCATTTAATGGTTATGTAATTCCAAAATCTGACCTCCAACATGCAAAGTGAATTTGAGGCATCATAAAAGGACCCTCTATAAATAGTATTGTCAATTATCTGTGATTTTGGTGCCCACTATTTTTATTTGGTGTCAATTAGTCTTCTAGCTTACTCAGAGGCAAGTAGAAAAGACATTATCGCAAACACTATTTCATGTACCGCTATGTGAGAAATAAAGGTGAGATAGCTAGAGGTAGACCATTACATTATCTGTTAAATCTTTTCTTGGGTCGATACATTAAAGCTTTCAGCAGCCATAAACTGGAGATCACTTGAATCAAATGCATTTTTGCTCCCTCTATTCGCTATCCATTCTTAATGTTATGTTTGATTTATTGATAAATGTTTCCTTTTTTTTTAATAGAAAGGTGTGTAACAGTTTTTGGCAATGTGTTATTTGTGTGTATATTGGCTTTATAAATTGGGCCAAAAGAAGTTGCAGCATCCATCAGGAGTCTTTTAAAAAGATGTCAAAGAAATCGACATCAGCCTTAAAGGAATAGTACACCCAAAACATGATTAGCCTTCATTTTCTAATCTGGGAGGCTTCTTGCTGTCTGCTGACATTCAAATAATGGAGGTCTATTGTGCCCGAGACAGAAAGGTCCATAAAAGTCCACAAAAACGTGTCAATATTCCTCCATGCTGCTCGTCCAATGTATTCCAAGTGTCCTGAGTGGGTAGCATCCAGAATTTACTCGAAACGAAGTAATTTAGAATGTTTTTAGAGCATAAACAGTAGTGTATAGTATTTCCTAAAAGCGCATTCACGAGTCTACGGAAACCGCGGCAGACCAAACCAGACGAAAGTGCGCATTCAGCTCGGCAAAGAACTCCTGCTCTTCCTCAACACTGAAGTCCTCATTTTTTAAATTTTTCTTTCGTTGTTTCTTTCTTTGCACAGGTAAACAGCACATTTCTTCTTCTACGCTTGCATTATCAGCAGAGCAGACGCTGAATGCGCACTTTCATCTGGTTTGGTCTGCCGGCTTCCGTAGCGTCCTGAACGCGCTGGCGCGCGCTTTCAGGAAATACTATACACTACTGTTTATGCTCTAAAAACATTCTAAATGACTTTGTTTCAAGTAAATTCTGGATGCTACCCACTCAGGACACTTGGAATACATTGGACGAGCAGTATG